GAATGCTCCAACACTGGATGTTTTTAAGATGTTGGATATCCATTTGTCTGAAGTTTTGTAGGGTTTCCTGCCTGGACGGGGGGGGGGGGGTTGGACTAGAAGACCTCCAAGGTCTCTTCCAACTCTATTATTCTAAATTCCTAATTAAACAACGCTTCCAGGTTATTTGGTTTGATGAGCCAAGCCATCCCTCCAGCCGCTGCACCACACCTCCTCTCAAGGAAACCCCACACATGGGATACAGCGGGCTGTAACCCAGTTACATTTCCCCCTTTTAACCTGAAACAGGACTCTCCAGGGCAGCACAGATTAACAAACCGCCTTCTACACACACTTGGAACTTTCTGCGCAAAAAGGCTTTGGAAAGCTATTCTCCAGTCTTGACAGCCACCTTTCCCTGCTGCAGGGAACTCCCCTCCTTCAGAACTGGGAAGCCAGTCAACGTCCCCCTCCTAGCATCCTCTCACGGTTGCACCACCGTGGACACCGAGTCGCCACGCAGCGTTCGAGGCCCTCAACCGCCCTCCGCCCCCCAAGGTGGGAACTCACCATATTGCGGAACGAGCGGCTCCCAACGGGGCCGGAAAAGGCGGGCGTCTCCTGTCACCAAAGAAAGGAGTAGGAGTTGAATTAGCTGACGTGTAATTGGCCGACCCCGGAACTAAACAGGAAGTGACGTAACCTCGCTCCGCCCCGCTCGGACCCAATCGAGGCAGGGAATGAGGTTCGCCCGTGCCGGTGTTCCGTTGCCTTGGAAAAGGTGCATGTGATAACCGCGGTAGCTACCGATAAGGTTTAGCGTGGGGTCATTTCTCGATGACGGGCAAACTCGTTATTTCTGGATACGGTCCGATAACAGTGATAAGAATGCCTTGTAGCAACAGTGGAACTGCAATTAGAAATAATAGAGCGGTGGGCACAACTGGCATCAGACGTGGGGAACTGTGGCTCCTTTTATGGCTGGCTGGAGAATTCTGGGAGTTGAAGTCCACAAGTCATAAAATGAACCTGTTTCCCTTAATCTAAGTCAGGGGTCCCCAAACTTGTGGACTTCAACTCTCAGAATTCTCCAGCCAGCTATGATGGCTGGAGAATTCTGAGAGTTGGAAGTCCACAAGTCTTAAAATTGCGAAGTTGGAAGACCTCTGATGTAAGTACTCTTCAGAATTCCTCGCACAACCCAGTGTGCTCCATAAATGATGGACTTCGACAACTCCCTGGGAATTCTAAGGAACTGTAGTTCAGCATAATTGGAGGACACCAATAGAGGGATCAATTTTCCTTCCCCTTTAATGCAGGGTGCAGTCTGTCACACATCTGGCTCGCATCTTTTAAGAAGCTGTAGTTAAGCTAGTCGTAAAATACAAAGTGAAAATGACTGTTTTGTGTCCCAAGTCACAAACCAGTTGACCGTATCTTAATCTAGCATGCTGGAATAACATCAAGCATACAACCCGGAAGTAAAGAATTTCCTAACAGTGAGAATGATTGATCAATGGAACAACGTGCCTCCAGGAGTTTTTCAAGAAAACTCCCGACCACCATTTGTCTGATATGGTATAAGACTTCTGCTTTGAGTAGGAGGTTGGATTAGATTTCCAAGGTCCCTTCCAGTCCTATAATTCAGTATCAAGTGAGATTGTGCATCACATTATCAAAATATAGACTTAGATGACTTCTGATTAATCATTCTAAGAACTCTTTGAATGAAAACACCTCTATTTTGCAAGCCTTTGAAAAAATGTGTTTAAGACTCATTTTAAAGCATACTGTTTCAGTTTTGGATTGAAAATACTGTTTGTGCATGATGCTAATGTAATCTGTTCTTCAAGAGGCCTTANTAATATATACAGTTTATATCAGTGATTCCCAACCTTTTTTTGCCCCACCTAAGCATCTCTAAAATCCTGATGCCCCGTGACATATAATTCTTACTTTACTCAAAAAGTGAACTCTACTCACACGGAGGAAGCCTAAAAGGCCATTAACTTGGTTTAAACAAGGTTCATATTTCCCCCATTAAAAATCAAATTGCCCCCCTATGGGGTGTGGGCCCCACATTGGGAACCACTAGTCTATATAAAATGTGTACCTTACCTCTGTTAAAATGCTAGGTTTTTGATATGTAAAAAAAAAGAAGGCCAAGATATACGCTCTACAATTCAATTGAAAAACAAACTGAAAACATTTAGGGGGGAAATAATAATAAATATTAGAATAATGTGGCTGCATAACTGTGCACACCCTCTTATAAGTAGGGATATGGTTGTGTTCAGAATTAACCAATCACATTCAAACTGATGGTAAATAGTAGTCAGTACACACTTGCCATCAATTAAAGTGATTTGATCAAGTCCATATAAAGTCCAGCACTGCTAGTAGGATTTTTATGCTATTTACTCAATTGCCTCTTAAGCAAAAAGTCTGTAAAGAGCTTACAAAGTATAAAGGGATCTCATTTCAGAAGAAGGGTATAAATCCCCCCCCCAGTGGTGGGTTGCAGGAGGTACGCCCCGGTACAGGTGTACCGGTGCCTGCCCAGAGCACTGGGTACCATTCCGGTACAGTGCTCTGGAGGGTCCACCCACCCGCCAGAGCTCCTTACCTGTATTTGAGCTCTTTGGCGCTTCCAAGCACACACATGGAGCGCACAGCGCCTGTGCAACTCTCCACTGAGCAGCAGAAGTGTTGCGGAGGCATCACAAGAGGTAAGGACGCATGCATGCACTATGTGCATTCATGTGGTGGACACTGGTCCCCGTTGTACCGTACCAGTTGCAACAGGATCCAGAACCCACCACTGCCCCCTCACACAATGAGGACAATCATTAACAAGTAGAAAAAATATCGCACAACAGTGACATTATCAAGAACTGGAGATACCTCCAAAATTGATGAAAAAATCAAGAAAACTGGTCTGAGAGACTGCCAGGAGGCCTATAGCAACATTAAAAGAGTTGCGGGAATTTCTGACAAGTACTGGTTGTATACTACATGTGACAACAAACTCCTGTATTTTTCCTACGTCTGAGATATGGGATAGGATGGCAAGATGGAAGCCTTTTTTTACAAAGAAAAACATCCAAGCCCAGTTATATTTTCTAAAAACCTACATCAAATCTAACAAAAACATGAAGAAAAAATGTGTTACGGTCTGAAGATGACAAGATCAGTGTTGATCAGTGTTGAATTCCAAAAAATATGTTTGGTGGAAAAACAACACTACACATCACCAAAAGTATACCTTACCCACATTGAAGCATGATGATGGCAGCATTATAATTTAGGGTTGCTTTCTTCAGCTGGAATAGGACCTTTAATCAAAACTATGAACAGTTCCAAATATCAGTGTTGCCACAAAACTTTCAGGTCTCTGCTAAATTGCTGGAGATGAAGAGGCATTTCAACTTTCAACATAACAACCAAAAGCATACCTCCAAAAGAAAGGCTTCATCAAAAGAAGATCAAAGTTTTGGAATGGACCAGCCAGAGCCCAGGTTTAAATCCAATTTAAAATCTGTGGGATGACCTGAAGAGGGCTGTGCACAGGAGATGCCCTTGCAATCTGACAGATTTGGAGCGTTTTTGCAAGGAAGAGCAGGCAAAGTTTCCCAAGGCCAGATGTCCCATGCTGATAGGCCCCTATTCCAAAAGTCTGAATGCTGTCATAAAATCAAAAGAAGCTTCAACAAAGTATTACCGTAGTTTAAGGGTGTGCATCTTTATGTAACCACATTATTGTAATGTTTTATTTCCTCCCCACAAAAGATTTCATTTTGTTTTTCAATTGAATTGGACACTTATATATTACACTGGAGATGGGGGGTGGGGTGGGGGAATCTGAAGTGATTTATCTTGGTCTGATTTTATATCTCAAAAACCAGGCATTTTAACAGAGCCGTATAGACTTTCCATATCCACTGTATTGCCAGCTAACTTTAAAATATTCACTCATTGCATTTTTACCCTATTAAGAATTCAAGTGTCTTGAGGTGGCTTTATAATCACCATAACATTTCTTAGGTTCAAAGCAGACACCTTATGGGTACTTTAGGATTTTTATGGCTTTAAAAGGATCTGAACCCAGACCACTCAGCAAGCCGTTTGCTCCAATCTCTTGAACAGAGACTACAGGTGGTCATTTATTCACTAGCAAATTATTCTTTTGCTCTTTCATAGAAGGATGTATTATAGTGTAAGAGGCTAAGGGAAGCAAGGATACCTTTTTCATGACATGTGGTTAAAAAGAACTATTAATTATCGATCAAATTCATGACATGTGATTAAAACAATTAATCAGTGGAACAACTTGCCTCCAGAAGTTGTGAATGCTCCAACACTGGATGTTTTTAAGATGTTGGATATCCATTTGTCTGAAGTTCTGTATGTTTTCCTGCTTAAACAGGGGGTTGGACTAGAAGACCTCCAAGGTCTCTTCCAACTCTATTATTCTAAATTCCTAATT